GGCATTAATCTTGTAGCCGTAGGTAATTCCACAGGATTATTGGCTATATCATTCATCATTGAACATTGGATACCAGCCCTCACTTTTCAAGTCAACTTGTTTAGCTGAAAGCTTCTGATCAAGCATCCACGCCATTTGGTAGGCCGTCATGTCACATTCGTCCGTTCGTCCACGATCCCTAGCTAGTTAGGCAATCATCTTGGACTCCGATTTGGTCCCGAAATATAACATATAACTCGTGATCTGGACGGTAAATTCCGGTGTTTTGCTTTGCCTTTGGCCTACACGGAATGATTAATACAGAAGTTGTGGGTGTTAGATCTTGCGTTATTATACTTCGTACTATCTGTGGACGTCAATGTCTTCAGCCTCTAAAATCTCATGAATATTTATACTCACTGAAGTATCGTGATATTAAACTACGCAGCGATCAACTGACCCGGTGTCAACCATTCAGATAGCGCAGTATTTCAAATGAATATTTTCAATAATCCTCTTTCCGAAATCCACCGGAACCCTATGATAACATTAACCCTATGCTCATCTGAGCCCCACCTCATCCCTATATCTAAGTGAAAATAGCATCCCTTAGGAATAGTGAGCTACTTAATTGGTTGGTTTAGGGTCATTTGCATGTGATATCTGTTTTTTACTGTTGCCTAAACAATATTTCATAAATATAGGGTCCAATTTTCACTGAAAATTTCCAGTTGTGGAATATTGTAGTGTTTAGCATGAGGGATTTTAAAAATGTATAGTAGTGAAAAGATTTTAGGCGGTTAGAGGCAATTGGCGAGAAGCCTTGCTTGACCTAGGTTTTGTGCTAGTTGGCACTCAACTTCAACTTTGGAGGGACCGATGTCTCTTCTGAAATTCGAACCCGCCTCATCCAGTGCTGTAGTCAGAGACGTTACCACTGGGCTATTCAAGCCCACGGTTGACATGAGTTCCTTCATGGTCGTGGATGTGCCTTGCTGATGAGGCACAGCCAGCACGAAACCTAGGTCCAGAGCTTCGATAAGAGGTTAAGGAAAAGAAGTTAAATCTGAAAAATAATGATAAAAAGACTGATGGGTGATCACGGTAAGAAATGTCCACATGAAATCCGACATAGTTGCTGAAAGGATCATAACCTTTGCCGATAACGGTAGTAGGCGAATTTTCTGTAGCCGAAAGACAATCTCCAGAACTCAGAATACTATTTTATATATATATGTAATAACTAACTCGATTTTAATGCAAGCGATATTAAAAGACGGTAAGTATAAGGTTTATTAATCAACCGAGCATAAGCCAGTGTAGCAAATTAATAACACACCAGCTTGACCATGTGATTCACAGTTGGTTACTACCAGTGCATCAAAGTCTGCAAATAACGTCAACATAATATACATTGCTCCGGTCTTCTGTCAACTATCAGACGTCTAGGTCACGACAGGAAATGTTGCCTCCAACGAACGGGAAACCGTTTCGAACAAACAAGTTCATGTAACGGCCACTCGATGCATAACAACACTGGCACCTGTTCTCACAGCTTCCGAAAAACCTGGAACAACTGGTTACAGTTAAATTACCAGGACATTTCAACTCATTATTGTTTGTAGACATAGAAAGTTATTCCAACTATTTTGTCGCTCAAAGTCCTCTTCTGAAATGTCTAGGAAATAGAAATGGGCAACCTGACTACTATCTTGCGCTTGACAGCACATGGGAGTACATAATTCTTGACGGAGCGGAACTCCGTGCACTCCGTAAGGAGAACATCAAACATGGCGGAATCGCACCCAGTACAATTTTATTCCTGATTTTCATCTCAGTCTGCCGAAAAATCGGAGACTTACAATACGTATCTACTCTAACCATTAATTACAAAAAACTGACAAATGCCACCCATTTTGCTAACAATCCGCTGGTCCCAGTTACTCACTATCTTTTCATGCAGTTTCACGAAACAGACATCTGCTGGCACTTGAAAGTTCATGATTTTACTGTACAATATTTCTCCAAAGTGCCTTAGGTCTCAGCTAATTTATACAGTATGATGACCATCATGGTGCATCACCGACAATATAATGATGGAATCAAAAGGTTCGCATCTGTGAACTTCCCGTCATTAAATAACGCAGTGCGACCTGATTATTATGCACAACGCAATCTCTACAAATCAACACTTACCACCGGAAAGGATCTACATTAACTCAGGCTTAACCTTAATGAAGTAACCCATTAGAATGTTAAAATAAAGGCGTGGTCTTCATTTTTCCTCCAGGGTTTTAACCAGTGAAATTCACTGATAGCTGACATTGAGGCTGCTCCAGAATTTGTTAAGCTCAAGGGAAAGCTAATTCAATATGAGCGAACAGATACTTCGTGAATATCTATCAGGAAAGCAGTGTAATTCAGGGGGAATGAAAATTATTTCGCTCAGTGTTTATCCCAGATTCCTAATTTCATTTAAATCTTTTTCTCTTTTTTGCTTATCCTGTGTGTGAGCAACCGTCTCCTCACTAGTGATGTGATCAGTCCTCTTACCGCACGCACTCTTTCTTTTCTCTCACCATTCATTTGATATACTGTATACTCTCATGGAACCCCTTTTACCCAAGTATTTTCAAATTTAGTGAAAATTTGACTCACAAAACAAGAAACTAAATTCACCGCTGTATTTTTGTAAATCATAGATCCTTTAGAAAGCAACCTGCATGTTCCTCTTTTGAACACGTTCAGCAGATCTGTGACAGTCCAGGAGACATATTCTCTGCAGTGAAATCTGCCAGAGATTTATGATCAGTCCAATACAACAAGAAGAGCATCAGGAAGTTAAAAGGCCTTGCAAACTCGCCATAAAGATTATAGATATATGATCTTACAATACACCAAGCTGCCATTTGAACACACTGTTTAGATATATTTGGAAGCTATGATATAAAGTTAAATGTTTTCTTAGTCTAAGTTTATATGTTTCTTTTAAGTAGCAGTGCCTTTTTAAAAGGTCAGGATTTTAGTTTATATAATGGTTGTTACAGCAACGACCTTGAAACGATTTCGAACTAAGGTTTCTTGTTTCGCTAAAATTATTAGTGTAAGTAGCCAAAACTGGCACACAAAATTCTTTCCTTTATGAGGTCAAGTGAAGAAAGATTATGTTACTTACATATTCTTTATAAATAATATTGATCATAATGTTAATAACAGTTATAGGAATGTATAATATTGAAAACATAGTTACCTTAGTCACGAGTATAAAGCGACTACAAGTTATATTTTGACGTTCCGCAAAATTATGTAAGACATCTGAAGGCATGATGAAAGCACATTTTTGTTGTAATTACGTATTTTAAAACGTTTAGATATAAAATCGCATAATATTCTATTGTTTTATGCATCCGACTACTTATTTCGAGATTTTTGAAGTAGTTTTAAGTTTTCATTACATCAGTCAGCAATATTCATCATAATCTGTACAAACAAGTAAGTGGTTACAGGGATATCGATCTACGTACAAAGCAAATATTCCAGGTTTTTGTCATTCAGATGTACCACATATAGGTAAATGAATAAATCTGTGGGCCAGTGTATTGCCTCCAATGCTTACTTAAAAGCTATAGAAGCTCAATTTTTCTTTAAATAAAGAGTTCCCTCTAGGAGCTTTTAATAATTCATTACGTTGTTTGACATGCATCTTTAGTCCCACATATGTTTTGAAAGGTTCACCGCTTTTACTTCATTTTTCAAGTGATCAAAACACCACAGTATTATATTCTTTAATCATCATGCTTAGCTTTTCGAGCCTAAAAGCTTCACGATGTTGACATACAACAGATAATGGAAATAACAAACAAGATATTCCCACCGCCCAATACTGATTATTCTCAATTGCATTTAAAATACTTGTTATCGTAATTAATGGCCCATGGCTTTCATAGTTCAACTGTGGGTGCTAAACTTTTTTTTCAGTTTGACTGGTTAAACTGAAGACACGCGGTCAAGTGTCCACATTATTTGGCATCTTGTCGTAACACATTTGGTCATTTGCGGAAGCCTTCCAGCTTCTTAGGTCGTCATTACCTGTCGCCCTTTCTAACTTAAAATATATTACACATTTTGGATGATCAGCATTTCGTTTTGATTTCCTAATGGTCTAAACTAATCAACTAATTTGGGAGTTAATGTAGACTTAGGAATATATCTAAATGGTAGAACTAGTTCATTCATTTATTTATTTAAGTAATAGTTCTCACCTCGGTTGAATAACTATGTGGAGTCCATGGGTGATACTATTTCTACTGTTTAGCAGCAGTGTATGATATATGTTGCTTGTAATAGCGAGAAGCTTCCACACTTTTGCTTCTGTGGACCCACTGGATTTGTATGGGAACTTATCTAGAATGCCTTTGCTGCTTGACTGCTCTCAACATCTTGTAGCGATGAATAGTTCTCCAAAATTCGTAGTTTAAAACATTCTTCACTCAACGCGGATGTTGACCTTTGATGTTTAAGTTGGATCATCAGTTTGAAAGTCCGAGATAAAGCACCCACGCCATTCGGCACACTGTCGCGTTATATTCAGTCATTTGTGGATGATCCCTAGGTAGCTAAGTAATCATCATCACACCATGATTTTGGTCCCGAAATATATCTTTTATTCCTTGGTCCGAGCAAAACAAATGCAACAGGAGTTGGAGGATAAGAACTTGAGTTTATATGCATTGTACTCTGGATAAACGTCACCACCCTTCCCTGCTAAACTGGTGAGCTTCATGACCCGCTATAAATTACGCCAAAGTATAGTTCGACTCATTTTACCGTGTATTTCCTCAGGCGTATTTACATGTTTGTACAGAGTGCTGCTTTATTTGAACTGCTGCCTTCTGTTAATCTAGAACTAGAGTTTGCTGTTGAAATACTTATTTCAGTAAACATTATTTTAAACTGATATTCTGTTATTCTTGAGTGAAGATTTAGAAAAGTGATTCTTTTTTCTTTCCATTTACTCCAGTATGCCACCAAAAAAGACTTCAAAAGTGAGGTTAAAACTTAATTTTATTTGATAATACAACCTAGAGCGATACAGCAATAGTGAGATCAATGACTGAAATGCTTAAAGACTATGAACATCGAGTTGAGCGTTATGAAACAGCAGTGTGCAATTCAATTAGAAAGTGTTTTAAAAAAGCTTTGGAAGAAGATCGTCCTGTGACAAGAGTAAGCTAAATTATATCTTCACAGCAAACTTTTTCATATGAATGAAGATAATAATATTAATCGAATATTAAAGTTTTTAGTTGATCCACAAGATCGTCGTGTGGTTGAATACTGGGACGATGACAGACTGATTGAAGCTCTTAAAGAAGACACCGATGAAGGTGTATCTACCAAAAAGAAGAAAATTAGAAGTAAACTAGTGAAAGAAGACAAACCATTGGTTAAACTTCTACCGCTAATTGAATCTATACGTGCAAGACGGTATACACTGATACAAGAATTATTTGTATGGGACTGTCATGTTGAAAATGATGACATGGTAGCATTGGTAAGTGAAATGTAAACTTGCTTCATTATCTCATTGTTACTGACAGTGTAGCATATAAAATTCACTAATGGTTAGATAAAACTACAACAACAACTACTACTAAGCCGAAATAAGGTCATCTGAAATATTCTGGTAGTTTCATGCAATAAAATGTTAATGCTTGCTATTAGATAGTGTTTTATAGGGATGAAGCTTGTTATCCAATTATTTCTGATCCTATTCAATCGATGTTAAATTGAAGTCAAAGACAAACCTGGGTTATTGCACTTTTTATGCGTCATTACTCACCTAACATGAAATTAAAGTGTAATATAAACTTGATAGTTGTTGGTGGCTTTTCTGTTTGATTGATTTCACCGTGGGTGGCCAAAGAATCCCTTAGAAGTTGGTTATTCAAAATAAAAACTGGGTACAGAATCCCTTTCTTTCAGTTGTCAAATTTACTTAGAATGACTGCGAATACTGTTTTTATAAAATCAAGAGGTAATTTGGTATGACTTTTACTGAAAAATCACTAGCTTTTAATCTCCTGATAATTGTAAGTCTGTGAACTCATACTATTTGGTATTATAATGTGAGGGTAAAAAGGTCATGAAAATTTGTTGTGCATTCTTTTGCGTCCATAGAAAAGGTTTATTGGCCACATGGCTTCATTATGAGCTGATATAGGTTAGAAAGCTGTTGAAAAAACCAACGAGGATTACTAAACAGCTGTTTCGTCCTGGTCTGTGACTCTTCACTGTACGACGTTGAACTCATGAGCCATTAAATCGGGTAACAGTGGCCTAATGGTCTACGAGCTCACCTCTTATTCAAATGTCTTGAGTGGGTACTGATGAAGAGTCACAAACTAGGGCGAGACAGCTATCCGGTAATCCCCTCTGGTTTTCCAATGGTTCTTTAACCGATGTCAGCTCATGATAAAATCGTGTAACCAATCAAATCAAATTCCCGCAAATCAACACTTGCAAAAAGTTGATCTTTGACCTTTAAGAAGACTGTCTTTTAAGCCAGTTAAAACTCTATCACTATGATGAATTCGTAAGCTATACAGTGAACTTGTACAAAGTTGATTCTGACATTTATCTGTTACCTATTATTTAGTTCTAAGATTTAGGTATGGTGGGGGTTGTACTTGAGATTGTAACTTATTAAAATACTTTCCGAATATTTATCATGGTATTTGTAAAATACTGGAAAGTGACTGACGAAAGGAAAGGCATATTTTTAGTCCAAATATGTTCTTCAATAAAGTAAATAAAACAAAGTGAGTTATTTTTCCACCTTAGATCTTGGATGACAAAATTCACTGCTGGGCTCCTAGGTGAAGCTAAAAGGTACAACCAACTAACTATACAGACCTATTTTGTGGGGACTATAAGAAGCTGAAAAGTTTTGTTGTTTTGGTTTGAAATCTGCTGCCTTAGTTACCTGCAAATTTTCGTTGGTTATTCTCACCATATTCCAACGTTTCTCATTTAATTTTTGAGTATAGAAGGATTTGTATTTGTTCTCTTTATTCTTTTACAGAGTGGACTGTTGATTAAAGGATGTTATGCTATTACGCGTCTTGAACTAATCGACTGTTTTCTAAATGCTAAGAGTATTGGTACACTAGTCGCTAACATTGCAGTTTCCAAGTCATTACGTGAATTATGCTTAGATTTTAACGAGTAATTGTGTAAAGTTTCTGAAATATTTATGTTATTTAAAGTTTTACCACTTTGTTGTTGGTGTAATGTTTTTATGAACTCCTTCTGCTTGAAATCCTACATGTATTTATTATGAAACTTGTAATGCTTGGTCGACACTGGACAATGCATCGACGCCAACACAGCCTTCAGGGTTATATACCAAAATTTGACGTCTTTATCACGTACGGTTCTCTGATTTCTCCTACACGTTCGAACGCTGTTCCTACCGTGGCCAAACTTGGATTAAGGATTCTTATCCCTCTTGGTTTCTTTTTGCTTTGCTAATTACTACAATTAGTATTAAGATAGGAGATGGATTGGTCATACTCTGAGGAAACCATCAAGTGACATCACTAGACAAGCCATCACTCGAGTGGAACCCGGAAGGGAAGCGGTGAGTTGGTCGTCAGTGCAAGGGTGAGTTGGAGGAGGTCATGTGAAGAGGAGATGAAAACGTGTGGGCAGACTTGGAGCCAAGTGAAGACTCTAGCAGAGAACCGGGCGCAATGGAGACGCACGGCTGAAGCCCTATGTTCCTCTAGGTATTAAAGGAAACAATAATAATAATTAAGATTTTAAAGTTTGTAGGTCGTGTTGTCTTAAAAATTAATGGAACGGTGATGATAACAATAAGAACGGTGAAGATGAAGTGAAGTTGAATGAATTCAAGTGGTAAAATAGAATAAAATAAAAAGAAACATAACTGAGACCAAAGTAGAGAAAGGTGTTTAACAAAAACATTTTCGAACACATAATTTAGGTTTCTGTCGATGTATAGCTAGAGCGTCAGTTATGCAAAAGCGGAGAACACGTAAGATTTTGGAATGGTTCGATTTGGTCCTGTAGATAACTTTAAAGGATAAATCACGGGGGGGGGGTGAATGATCCGACTCCAGAAGATTCTTGTGAATTGAAGACTTAGTTGTCGACCAAAGAATTCCTTGTGCCACTTAATGCCTTTTTCTGTAATATAAATACGACTGTAAAACTTGAAAATTAAGTTGTTGAAAAGAGATATTTCTTCGCTGAACAAAAACTGCATTTTTCTTTGTGAATTAATGGGCGTGTTTTGTGATAATTAGTAGACACTAACAGCATGTACCACAATGGCAATAACCAATACAGGACAAGAAAAGTGGCGAATTCAAGAGCTATAATTGTTAACATTACAAAATTTTCAAATAAGTTTGATATTCTCAAAAACTGGTTTGTAGGGATTCTATTTGTTCTTGGTTAGACCAGGTTTTGATATCATTTGGAGTACTGGACAGCTGTTCCACCCTAGTTTGGGACTCATCGGCAGCACGCACCCACCATCACGGTTCGAACCCAGGACCTTCCAGTTACAAGGCAAGCTGGCTCGTATACCATTCAGCCACTGGGACACAATTCAATGACCGATTCATCAATTCTAAGTTCTACCAATTCGTGATTTTGGCATGACTAACAACCAGTGTCATCGGCGGCAAATACGTGGTCTAACCTAAAAAATAATAGAATCTCTACAAATTAATTCTTGAAAATTAATCCAATGCTCGTTAGTAACTGGTTATAGGACGAAGTTGCCTGAGGTTCTAGTGAGAAGTCTTCACCAATGGGTTACACCCGGCCGGATGTGAGTACATATACTCACCGATGACACTGGTTGGTTGTGGCGCTAAAATCACGAATTGCTAGAAGTTAGAATTCATGAATTGGTCATTGAATTGCGTCCCAGTGGCTGAATGGTATACGAGCTTGCCTTATAATCAGAAGGTCGTGGGTTCAAACCATGATGGTGTGTGCGTACTACCGATGAGTCCCAAACTAGGGTGAAACAGCTGTCCAGTACTCCCTGTGGCTGGTATACAATGGTTCTCTGAATGATTTCAATCCGTGGTCAAACCTGAAAGTTTGATATGTCTACATAAAATATATGTAGACAGTTTTGGTTAGAGTTAAGTGAGTTGAATGACAGTGTGATATTATGCATTTGGTTTCGGTATCATTCAACCGATATAAAGATTGTGTGTCAATGTAGATTTTGCAACGAGTCAGCATCAATTACACAGGTCACTGAAAATTCAGGGAGCAACGGACAGCTGTTTCGTCCTAGTTCGGGATTTTCCATAAATGCACATCAAAGATCCCAACGAGGATAGAACTTGAGACCTTGACGTTATTGGACCAAGCTCGCTAACCATTCAGTCACTTGTGTAAGAATTTCAGTGATCCGTAAATTCTCATGTTTAAGTCAAAATTTCCCTATTAAAGTACTTTGATTTCGTTCGTAAAAACACTGAGTGAAAATGATAGCATCAAACAGAGAATTAGATAATAGATTTGAAATATTGAAAATATACTGATGTGTTTCTAGATACGACGCAATTATTGAAATATTTTGACTGAGTTATAGAAAATTCGTGTTGGAAATGCAACCGGAATGTTAAGAGTTCAAGCATCGGTTAGAAATGGTGTTCTAGAATTATTCACCTTTACGGCTGGCCATCCAGTGTTCTACCTTCACCAATATCGGTTATTTTTTGTTGTAATTCCACGTTTTTTGCTTGCTTGCTTGAATTTTTCCATTTCGAATGCTAATAGCAAGTTAATTTTTAAGAATACGGCAACAGTTCACTGATACGATTGCAAATTTGAAGAAAAATATCATCAGCACTTGAAATTTTATTTAGTACCATAACGGAACTGTAGCATACTTATAAAGAAGCATCAACAACTCTGGGAATTTCCATCTCTCTCTCTTAAAACTCCACTGTACGTCTGTCTGCCTTGGTCACAATTAAAGTTCCTTCCACTACGCTTATAAGCTACCAATACATTGTGTTCTCTAATTAGCCACCAGTTAGGCACCAGCTGTGACTCTGATGTCATTTTCTAAGTGAACTGAAAACTTTTGAGTGATAAACATAGTATTGATATACTATTTCACTACAGAATGTGATAACAAACATAGATCTCACACTCGAGGCGTTATGTTGACCAAGAAAGCAAGCATAAATATGCAAAACTATATACTACTGATTGGTTGGAATAAGTAGTTGGATATACCGCTCACATCAACTAGTAGAGCTTGCTAGCCAAACAAATCGAAGTGATGTAAATACCCGACAGTCGTTCGGCATGTTTGAGGCCAACCTCATAAATGGTGCACCCCGGGGTTTGACTCATTTCAGAGAGCTGTGAAACCATGCTTAGCTAATTACTAATACAAAACATAATGGTCCGTTAGTCAAGCAGTTTATATTTGGTTCCTACTTTGTCATTTGTAGTATTTTGTTTTCATTTAGGGTAATCCGATTAAATTTTGATGGATAGACCAAACATTTAAGAAGTTTTAAGCGTTAGGATATTCGTGAACTGTACTAAACCATAACGTGGGATAATATTAAAATCCGCTACTTCTAATTCGTTTTCTTAAGTGCGATCATAGTGATATTATTATTAATCCATTAGGTTCTGAGTGGAACATAGTGCTTCAACAACACATCGTCACTTTGTTCTATTTTCTGCTGTCCTCCTCATCTGGGCCAACGATTGCCCATAATCTTTCATCTGGTCCTCGCACTATCACCTCCATGGCATTCTCGGACAACAAACTCGTCGCTTCCCATTCAGGTTCCATTCGAGGGCCTGGGATACTATGTCATTCGATGAACTCCTCAGTGTATGCCCAATTCATCTCCATTTTCTCCTACATATTTGTTGAGCGACAGACCCCTGGCTGGTTTGATCCCAGCTAGAGTTTCTTGTTACTAATTCTTTCTGGCCTCCTGGCCATTTGATCTTCAGTATGGAGCCAGCGAAGGCAACTGTTGAGAAAAGTCTGCAGTGGCCAGTTGGAAATCCTTTCCGTGACAGATACGCAGTGCAAGTTTCTGACCCATATAGAAGAAATGACTGACCTCACATTTGTGCTGAATAGAATCCGAATCTTGTCCTTTACGCCGAGAAGTGCGGAAGAATTCCAAACATGTTTCAGGTTGAATAAGGCGTATCTTGCCTTTCCGTATCTGGCTGGCCTTGACATCTTCATCCGTTCTGCCTCCGGTTGAAGCAATGTCCCCGAGATAAGCGAAGGAAGTAACCTCCTTCAAGTTTCTACTCTTGATGGTGATTAATGCTGTTTGTTGTTTCTGTTGCTGATGGTTGGTTATCTTCATCACCTCCATCCTCTCTATGTTCACTTGCAGTCCTGTCTTCAATGCCAGCCTCTTCATCCAGTTCGTTGGTTTTCGCCTGCCTGCAAATCTTCGAGTTTGTGTGACATTAGACATATATCATCTGAGAAATCCAAATCTTCTAGAGTCTTTTTATCCATCGTCCAGCGTATTCCTGAATCCTTGCTCCCCATAGCCTGACGCATAATGCAGTCCACCACAATTAAAAATATCATTGGTCACAATAGGCATGCTGCCCTGTCTTACTCTTGTATTCACTGTGAACTCCTCACTGAGTTTTCCGTTGTGTATCACCTGACACGTGACATTGTCATATAGCCAGCTGTTCAATGAGACTGAAGCAGTTTCCAAATTACTGCTTGATCAGCACCGTCAAAGGCCTTTTCGAAGACGACGAAGTTGATGTACATGTTTGACTGCCATCCTATGCTTTGTTCTGTGATGACGATACGCAAAGTTGCAATTTGAGCCGCACATGATTTGCCTTTCCTGAACCCAGCTTGTTCCTGGCTGACGGTGTTCTGTATCCAGTGTATCTTTTATTCTCTCCAGGATGATGCAACGTAGTGTTTTACGTGATGTAGACAACAGCATGATTCCGTGCCAGTGTGTTGCAGAGTGAGACGTAAATCTCTCTTCTTCGGTAATTCCACAAGGTAGTCTTTCTTCCAATCAGTAGGCATCTTTCCTTCCTTCTAAACCTTTCACAATAATGGTGTAAGCATATTTGCCAAAGTCTCTGGGTCTGTTTTCAGTGCTTTGGGGGGTATTCCATCTCGAGTCTTCTTAAGTAACATGCAATAAAATGGATAACAAACGAACAAATTATGGCTAAACATTTGTATACATTATTGGTGAAAATTTGCGAAAATTTATTAAAAATTCTTATTTTTTTTCTTACTCTCTGATATATGTACACATTCAGCATTGGTGAACTTGGTTGTCGTGTAATGTGTAATGGTTTAGCCAAAAGTCGTTATCTTGTTCATTTAAGTTTGAGTTTTTGTGGCCTTACAAAACAGTGCGGTTTATGGCTTGGAAATCTAGTCGCAGAAACTGCAATCAGGTTTGTTTATATTGGTAATATATAATAAATTAATTAAAAACAAATCATGTTTCATGCACATGGTACACTTGTTGAATTTTCATATAGCAAGGCAAACTGAATTTGCCATGTAAGACGAGATTAGTTTATCTCACTGGTTCTTATCATCTACAGACTGGCAGAAATTACGGTGGTGATAAGAGATAATAATAATAATAATGGCTTTATTCCAAACAGTATTTGTGGTACAGGTATGGAATTTTCAGCGTGCACTACAATATTGCATCTAATTACCTCATAAATTTTATAAGATTTTAAAAACAAAAAGCAACAACGACAAAAAGAAAAAAGATAAATAAAAGAAATAATAAAGAACAGCATTGCATTCACATTTTAAACAATGCACCACAGGAATATGAAATATAAAATTAGTGTGTAATAGAATATGTGAACAACAATATAATAAGAACACAGAAAGGAAAACAAAAACTAATGGGAAACTATTTGTTAGAGTGCCGCAGTAAGTTGATCGTGTCATACCTAACGGATTTCTCATCACATAACAGCTGTGCCAGATAAGGTACTGTGGAGTTTTTGTACTTGGTGGTCCTAGCGTATAGCCTCCTATAGCTGCTTCTAGTTCTACCAGTTGAAATGCAAGGAGAGAGCTGCGTATAGAGAGGACGCTCAGGGTCTGACAATATAGTATTCGCTAGTTTCTTACATGACATTATATGTCTATCCACAGTAGTATTAACCAGTTGGTTTAACGATATCCCACTTGCCCTGCTAATGGCTTTTAGTGCCCTTCTCAGCAAAGCAAAGTCTTTCTTAAGTAGTCCAGGAAAGATTAATGGGGAGCAGTGAAGAGGGATGGTTAGAATACAAGAGTTGACAAACTGAGAAATCAAATACTGCTTTATACCAGACTGCCTTAATTTCCTAACGTAGAACGTTAAGCGAAACATCTTTCTAGTAACTAGCAAGCTGTGAGAGGATCAGGAAAAATCGGAGGAAATACTCAGTCCAAGGTACTTGACATTAGATTTAGTTTCAACCTCTTTGCCGTCAATGATAGTGGGACCATGTGAGCTAGCTAGTTGTTGTAGGTCACGTTTTCGTCTGAAAGTGAAACTGACTACCTGACATTTAGACGGATTAAGCTTAAGACCGTTTGAAGAGGACCACTGATTAATTTCCGACAGAAAGTAATTTAATTTGGAACAATCTGACTGAGAGTTGACAGGCATGGAAACAGAGAGGTCATCAGCATACTTGACAAAAGTGGCTACATCAGAATGGGGCAAGCCATGTAAGAAAAAAGAAAACAGAAAAGGAGAAAGAACAGCACCTTGAAGAACACCAGCTAAAGTAAGTGAGGAGGACTTTCCATTGTAGATGGTGTACTGCTTTCTATCAGAAAAATAGGAAAACAACGCACTTTGATTGTTGGAACAATCATATAAAAGCGTTACTGATTAGAGGATCCAAATTGCAGAGTTACAGAAGACTAAACATCAAAATTCCTAACTTATATCATAGTTAATTAATATGCACCATGGAGAGAAGGAAAGATAGCGAAACATCATTACGTACTACCTTGGAATATTGTAATTCTTAAGACTGAAATCACTTAATTAAGCTATTATATATTAGTAGAATAAAATATTATGCAGTTGAATGGAACAAAATCAAAATGCTGTTACCAGGGGAGTGACATCTACCACATGAATATCTATTTTAGATTGGATTAGATAAATCAGCATGTACTGGTGTGTAAAATTCTTTAAAATGAATTATTTTAGATGTCCATTTTCCCTGAGAAGCTTCTCAGAAATACTATCATTTTTTCCAAGCTCTCAAGAAAGCGTAACTTCTTACCTCTGTTGTCCATTGTCCCCAGTTATCCACGCTCATAAATGACAAGACAGAAGGTACTATGCTGAAGGTACTGTCCAGTGCAACTATCTTTTGTAATGAATAACCTTCTCGTCCTTATTATCAGTTTTTCGTACACACTGAGATCCAAGGAGTTAGACTCAATCTTTCGCTCAGTATATACAACAAGTTCAATAAGAGCGTGATTCTCGTTAAGAGACAAATGTGTGATCAGTATATCTCCCACTATTTGTTACCGATAAGGATACACAATGTCGAGATGACTTATGACATCTACCAAGGGTGAAGTCAGTGTACCTGAAAATTCAGTTTGTCTTGCTGTATCAAGATAAACAGTATCACGAAAAATACCCATTTATTTATAAGTAAAAGCAAAGTATTTTGTTCAGCTAAGAAATTTCTTTTCAATGACTTCATTTTCAAGCTGTACAGTCGTATTTATATTACAGAAAAGGTTATTGAGTGGCACTAAATTATTGCTCAGTCAATATACATATATGTGATAAGAATAACGATAATTAAAATGTTATAAGGGGTAGAGTTGAAGTGGATAAATTACAAAATTATTAAAGATTGTTTTATAAGTGAATTGATATCAAAATTTTTTTAATGTCAAGTGTTATCTAAAAATTTTAAAAATTAGAAGTACGATTACGATAAGAATGAAGATGTGAAGTGAAGTGGAAAGAATTCAAGTGGTAAAATAAAAACTAGAAAGAACATTACTATGACCGAGGTGAAGAAAGGAGTTTGACAAAACGTTTTCGCACACATAATTTAGGTTTCTGTTCATGTATAGCTAAAGCTTTGGCTGTGCATAAGTGAAGAAAATGTAAACTTTTGGAGAGATTCGATTTTGCCATGTAGACAACCCTGAAGCATGAAGCATGTGGGGCTCAATGACCAGACTCTGAAAGGTCATCACAAATAGACGACTTCGCAGTTCTACGTTCGCCTTTCATTAACCAAACCGGATAGTGTTCAGCTACGCGTTTTCGGAGATTACGCTTACAACGTCCAATATAATCAGTTCCACAAGAGCAGGTAAAAGAGTAAATGCACATAGATGTGTGATGACTTTTAATTATCGTTATTCTTATCATATATATATATATATATATATATATTGACTGAGCAATAATTTAGTGCCACTTAATAACCTTTTCTGTAATAAAAATACGACTGTACAGCTTGAAAATGAAGTCGTTGAAAAGAAATTTCTTCGCTGAACAAATAAACAGTATCCTCTATTGTTCCGTTTCAAGGCTTTCTAAATCATGAATATTAATGCCTAATGATCATTTATTCATATTCAGTTTCAAAGAACTTGACCGGTCTAAGGAATACCTTTATATCACGCCTCTGGTGATTTGTGATCAGACTTTCAGCCGGCGCTGTATTAACTATCGTTCAACCGGTAGTAAGCCCGTTAAAGAGGCGAGGTTGTGTGTGTGAGGCTAGCAACCCCACTCTATAAAATAACACCACTGCCAGTGAGACTTCAAAGCTCAAGCATGGAACCCTATACCCCCAAATGGAACTTAAAGGAGTAAAAAAATGTTATGCACAGACTAAAATTAGTATCCCCATTTCTATTCAACTTCATCATAGATGTACTAATGGAATTAACCCTAACTCACTTCAGCGACTTAAGGATTGACTTGCTACCAGGGAATAATCTCGTTGACTTAGAATATGCAGACGATATAGTCCTTCTAGGAGAGGACGCTGACAAAATGCAGAGTCTTCTAAACACCTTGAGCTGCAATCTACGAATGTTTGGTATGCGATTCGCTTCCGCCAAATGCGAGATGATGTTACAGGATTGGACTACACCGACTCCTAGATTAGAAATAGGAGGTGAAGCGGTAGAGCACGTTGACCGCCTCACTACCTTGGGGAGTACCATCAGCCCCAATGGGTTGATCTCTGATGAAATTTCAGCACGGTTACAGAGGGCTCGTTTTGCATATGCCAGTTAACTCTGTCTCTGGCTTAGTAGACGTGATATCCGGCTGGCTATCGACCAAAGGGCGGGTGTACTGCTCATCACTCCGCTCCGTCCTCCTTTATGGCTGACTGGCTGTGAGACCTGGCCATTGAGAGTGGAAGACATGAAAAGATCAGCTGTCTTTGATCATAGGTGTCTGCGTTCTATCTCCCGTGTGAAGTTGTATAATAAGGTGAGCAATATTGAGGTTAGGCGTCGAGTGCTAGTTAAGGAGGGGAAATCAGTCGACGAGGCTGTGAAGTTACATCGACTGAGATGGTGAGGACATGTGTTACGTATGCCTAGTCATCGCCTTCCTCGACAACCAGCAATGTTAGCTGACATAGGGTCAGGCTGGAAAAGAGCTAGCGGCGGTCAAACGAAAACATGGCACCAATCAATGAAATCTACAACAGTTAGTCTAGGCCACGTAGGAAGGTGTAGACTTCCTGGTTGGGTCCTCGGGACGGTAAAAATCAGTGGCTTGAAACAATTGGTGACATGGCTCAAAATCGTTCTCAATGGCTGGTGCAGATGCATCCAATCCTTGTGGCTTATGATTTCTAGTGAAACTGTTTTGTTCTTCATTATTACTATACCTTTGTCTCACACTTCTGTTTACTGTCTCTATTTTGCATTTCTTCTACTTTCTTCTCTTGCTTTGTGTGCTACATGGGAGGAGTGTGGCGACTTGAACTGGTGCACATTGGTGCGAAGTTGTATGTTGAAAACAGACAGACATTGCTCTGAGAATCATATATTTTTGAGTAGCTTCCATAATCCTGTGTTCACTCAGAGAATCCAGTTATATGACTGACTGAAATATACACCATTCCCATGTGATATTATAATTTTTAGGCGCATTATAATTACGTGGTCATCAGTAATTATTTCAAATGATGAATAATTTCCATTCAGGCATTATTAAAAACAGCAAAACAAGTGATTATTTAATTCATTTTGGACTTTCCCTTGTGATTGATTGGACCGAAGTGCTCGGCCTCAACGGGAATATCCGAATTGAGTTAAATAATCACTGATATCCGTTGCACAAGAAATACGTGGCTCTCCTGGCCTAAGTGGTCTAGTGGATAACGCTTTGGAGTTTGAAACTGTGGGTACTAGGTCCCAG